TTAGAGTGAATAAAAGGGCAAGGAATGTAGATACAAGCCTCTTGCAAACAATTTCATTGCATGTGGCACATATTTGCCATCTGCCATGTCATTAAGAAGATTTTGATTTCGATAAAATGGATATTTACAAAAATAAGGAGGAAATATGCGAAAAATTGTTTCCACAAAAATATGGCATGGTTGAATCAGAAATTAGATCATAATTCACGAAACCTGACATTCTAGGTCCATCCTTATGAGCATGACTTTTATTCCACTTGAATTCTGTTTCATCCAAAGAAGATATGTTTATTTGAAAACATGGTCTTTAAAATGTCATGTCTTTTCAGAATATAGGCGATTATGAATTTTTTTAGTATCATTTTTTTTTATCCTTAACTTCCTAAGAAAAATAGGGGAGTGCTTATTTATTGCCTAATCCACGGTTTCGAAAACTGTTTTTATTCTATCACCCAAAGCTAGAGATCCATCTTTAAACTGCCATTTAAGTTATATGAAATATATTCCAGTTAAACTTGCATACACTTGTGAATATGTAAATAAATCCGTTATTTTTCACAATAATCAGCAGAAAGCATTAGGGTTATCGATAAACTATTTATATTAAGTCTACGCCGCCATCCCTGTAAGCAAAATGAATAGTGGCTAGCTACAAATCTAATCACTTCTTGATTTATACTGCAATATTTTTCCTGTATTTTTTAGTGTTTGCTCACGTATTTATGTTTTTTTTCGGTTGGCCATGAGAAAAGAATCGACTAGCGGTTAACCCTTTTTCTATTCCTTTTCTGTCGATATGTTTTTCAATACGTTACGTTACACTGATATGATTCTTTTTCTAATCTTTGCTCTTTCTTCCCTCTTAATTTTACATATTTTTGTACACACACACCTATATATACAATGCTGTTCGATAAAAGTGACTCACTTGATTTCTTTTGTATATTGTTTTTGGGGTTAAAATCATTTTTAATCTTACTAAAGACCTTTTTCCTGACCACCTAGGAAAAAAAGATTATTCACCCTAAGGTATTCTATTGATAATTATAAATTTGGATATAAATAGGATTCAGGCAAAAAAAAGTGTTGTAGAGTGAACGAAAAGTTTTTTCTTTTTCTTCCGTATGAAAAACGAATTTCGTCACAACATAACGTGGCGAGCGAAATGTTTTTTCTTCTTCACTGTATGAAACCCAATCCGTCGTACGCCATGTTTGTTATGGCGGGTTACTTTTTTTTCTTTTCCCGTATGAGAAACGAATCCCTCGTCGTCAAATGTGTTGTAGAGTAGTTTTCACAGTGGAGGCTTGTATTTCAATAAGTCGGTCCTATAAGGGTCCGACGTACAAGACGTTAGGAACTTGAAACAATATTTAATGACGCAACAATCTAGTTGTGGTGGTTGATACTTTACTGTCCGACATCGACTGACTCACACAACTCACTGAGCTTCACTGGCGACTGCTACTACTACTACTTATTATCTGTGGGAGAGTCTATTTACAATAGAAATAGGTACGTTCCGGTATAACAAAAAGTGACTCAGATATCGCATTCTAATGATCGAACTGGTAAATTTAAAGAGCTTTTGACAAAAGATTGAAAACTATTTTACAATACACTCAGAAAAATATTCTAGAGAATTCTAGAACAGCTTAAATTAATTCTAGAGTATTCCAGAATATTCCAGAAAGCCTCATATAGTATAAAAACAGCTTGAAAATAGCAACTCAGAAGAACCACTTAAGACATATATTATTTCAATAATATATGTCTTAAGTGGTTCTTAACCTTTCAAGGTTATTCAAAATAAAGGAGGACGCATAGATTATTAAATATTTCAAACTATATTACAAATATTGTATTATAAATTATAAATAAATTCTACCTCTATTATTCTTTATTTAAAGCTGTTTGGTTATGTTTCTATTGATTACTAGTTGCAGCAAATAAGTGAGTCACTTTTTTTGGCACAGAGTTTTTCCCTAAATCTCATTTATATCTAAAATTATAATTATCAATAGAATACCTTAGGATGAGTAAAAAATTTTACTAGGTGGTCGGGAAGGGGTCTTTATATAAGTAAGATTAAAAATTAGTTTGACCCCAATAACAATAGGCCAAAAAATTTTAAGTAAAAACAATCAGGTGAGTTACTTTTATCGAACAGCACTATATATATATATATATATATATACAAGTATATAATAGGTCAATGTCTGTGAATGTGTGTACATGTATTTATCGTTGTCTATGTCTATGGAAAGTGAATTGACTTTTAATTGTGTATGTATGTGGGTGTTGGTCCCCACCTTTTTTTTTCATAAAGGGCCGTGGAGATGTTCCTGTCTCGTCACTTTTTTGTGTGCATATATATCTAAATATGTCTGGGTGCTTATGCATTATAATCCGATTGTGTTTGTGTTGTTTTGCGCGTGAGTTTAAGACTCCATTCACACACTTGGGATTAAAATGTATATACATGTATTGTCGGATGACCGGATATTGTAGCGTCTGTTCTAACGTAATTTCAACGAAGAAATAAATTGAATAACATATGTATTTCTTCTTTTCCTCAACAATTTTATAGTTTTGAACTTAATAGTGATTAAATTTGGATTTTTAAATTGGCAGTCTTTAATTTTAATATCAAATTTTATCATATAATTTAATAATTATTGGTTAGAATAAATTCTTTTTAATATTACCCGTATTTTACAGATCTGAATAGCTATTATAACATGATTTCGTTGTCAAGCTTTTTAAATCTTCCTATACTTGAGTTTTGATTGGTAATAATAGCTTTTGTAACAACATTTTCCCCTTACGAAGGATCGTTAATTAATTTGAAACTTTTAAAACCCTTTACTTTACATTCAACATCGTCACTTGATAAGACACCGAGGGTGTTGAAACAAAATAGCTATTTTTGTAGTGATTTTATAACATATTTATGTCATAATGTTGCTTTTTTAAAATAATATATATATATATATATATATATATATATATATATATATATATATATATATACCTAACTCAAATTTAACCCCTAGGTATAATTTAATATAGTTACGAACGTTGAATTTCTGTAAAGTGACGCAAGGGATTACTTGGAGTTTATAAATTTGCTGCATGTTTCATTTTCGCTCTTCAGTGTCGAAATGTCAGTTCTAAATTCCGGGCAGAAAAAAGACCAGAAAATGAATAAAAAAAGAGAACAAAAGCATAGAATTCTTTTTTTTTTTTTTTTCTGCATGATGAGCTTCTTGGAAAAAAAAATCATTATTCTTTTTGCAATATACATATCTACTGTCCAATCAGCGTTGGTCAATAATTACTAATTATCGTTACTGTTTCTTAGAGAATAGTCCGAGCAGGCGTCAATGTTCCGCTATTCCAAAAAAGAAAATAAAAATTGAATTGTAGCCGGCGTTGAGGCGTTTTTATCAAGGCTTCTCATCGCCTTTCATCTCTGTGGAATCTTGCGCAAATATCGACTGGCGACTGAGATGAACGTAGCAAAAAAAAGAAAGAAAATCGGAAAAAAATTCAAATAAGCGATCAATAAAATATAATATATGAACAAAAACGTTGATAGAAAGAAGCGTTAGCGAAAGGCAAAAGAAGTAACAGCATTAAGAAAAAAAACACTTAAAAAAAGGCCGCATAGGGTGGTAAGAAAAACTGTGGCGTATATATGTATTACTCACATTCAAAAATATATGTACTCGCTTAAACTGCATCACACGCTGTAAAAGTTATATCCACTTCTGTAAACATGCACTCAGGACAGATAAATTAAAGGCTACATATCGAATGGTAAGAAACTTATTGTTTACAGGATACATTTACATATGAGCACTTATTGAAAAGAAAGTGGTAGGGTTGGCTAAAAAGGGATGGAAATAGAGAGGAACCAAGAGAGATTAAATAACAACGAATATTACATTAAAAAATGATCCCTAAAAAGATTAAGTGAAAGAGACTGGCAGGATGTGGGAGCCGGAGCAGTAGATATTTAAATGCGAGGATGAAAAGAGAAGGAGGACAGATAACACTTCTTAACTCATGAATACTTCTAAAACCGAGAATAGATTGACACAATACGAGAGAGGTAGCAATGGCGAGAATAGGAAGAGGGAAAAACATATATTATTATATTTAAATAATCATGATCTCTGAAACAGATAGATAGATCGACGTCTCCAGGTGCCTTGATCTATCACCTATCATTCTCTTCATCCTTTCCTCTATCTATCCTCCTTGTTCTCGCTCCAACTATCTGTAACCCCTTGCATGCTAGTGGCTTCCCGCCTTGCTTGGGGTGAAACGCTTAAAAAAAGATAGATAGATAGATAGATAGATAGATAGATAGATAGATAGATAGATAAATAGACAGATAGATAGAATATGCTTATATGTAACAAACTGTTTAAATTAAGAAGGGTCGTTACAGGTATATTTTAGAAATGAGATATACATTTAAAATATTAATACATACGATTTTTCGGAATTTTTGCCCAACGGTGTGATTATATGTAATGCAAACTTAAGAGTTATTAAGTTAGCCGGGGGGATTATGCGTTGCCATTACCTCATATAAATAATGGACAATTCCGTTTTTTCACGATAAACGGAAGAAAAAGGTATATCAGAGGAACTTTTCATTTTAATGAGAAATGGAAATCATACATCATGAGAAGAAAAGAAAAATTAATGATTGATTGAACGATTCGTTTTATTCAGCTTATCTACCCATTGCAGATTATTTAGAGCCATTTTTAGGTTGCAGGAATTTTTTTGGCATATAATACTCCTTTAGTGATACATTCCTTCCTAATTAAACCATAGCTAGCGTTAGAAAAGTAGAATCCATTCCTTTCCCAACGGTATTTGCGTGTAAGTGAATATAAAGAACTCAACTAGAATTGAAATTCGTCTCTCTCCGATATCCATTTCCGTGCCATTATCTATTACAAAACCGGAAACATCCAACCTTACAGCACCTGATATTCCCAAGCTGTCACCCTTATAAGTAATAACCAATCTCAACTTTGCTTTACTTCCGTGATCGTACGGGGACAGATGTTTCAACGTAATATGGCCTTAAACCTAGCCTGCTTTGTATATACAGTAATCTACTAGTCTCGTTAAAGCGCTTCTGTAAATATTTGTAACTAGCAGTAGAGACCGGCGTTACCCGGGGATGTAACAGTAAGAGATAGATCAAGTATCGACCATCATAAAGACTGAAAAATAAAATTGACAAAGATTATTGTTTAAGGATGACGGACACGCATGTCTTAATTAGTTTTTTTTTTTTTTCGAATTGGTCAAACCTAAACTCAAACAAAAACATTGTTTTCAATTGTTATGAGTCTACCGATTGAATAGAATTTTATTATAAACAATTGTCTTGTAAATGGAATTTTTTAAGCATTCTGAATGTAAAAATAAAGAAAAAAGTGTGCAAGACAATAAGAAACACTACCTGCCCCAAAAAAGTGAAGTTTTGTTGAAATCGGTTGAAAATGAAGGAAATCCGATCCCAACTAACACACACACACACACACACACACACACACACACACACACACACAATCTGGGCTTTATAATAAGTATAACTCGATATGAGTTGCCCCCATTTCATTCTCGCGAAAGAGATGCCTCGTAATCGTGTTTGTAAATTGATTTCGTGTAAAAACAATTGTGATTTTCCAATTTTTCGCGCTGTCAAAACCACCGCAAGGTAATTTTACGTAGTCCTGTGAAGTTTTGTTGAAATCGGTTGAAAAATGTAGGAAATCCGATCCAATATATAAACGAACAGACACACACAACCTGGGTTTTATAATAAGTATGACCTGCTGATCGGTAGTTATAAAAATATGAAGAAACACACCAGAAACAAGTTTTCTGATTAGGCTCTAATGACAGAGTTGTATCTAATAGGCCGGAGCGTCTTTTATATAAAAGTATCATAACGAAAATACAAAATTTTAAGATATTTAAAAGTGTCCTATTGCTATATATCGCTTAAAATCTATTCTATACTATTAAGCAAAAGGTGACATCGTAGCTTGAAAGTCCATTATCAGCACTTCGTACTAATGAGATATACCGTTGTTATGTCAACACAGTTCATATTCACTTACTAATGTCGAATGATATCTCATGTTACCATAACAAAGTGTTATCTCATTAGTAAGTAGAGACAGTCAAGTTGCGCGATATATAAATAGAAGATACACTGCGTTTTATATCATAGAGAGTGTCCTGAACCCTTTAAGCCCAGACCACCGCTTTAGCGGTTGTAGAGAAAAATGACTTAATGCCGAGCTACCGGTTGAACGGTGGCAGAGAAAAATGATTTAATGCCGAGTTATCGGTTGAACAGTGGTTAATTATTTTCATATCTACTGTGAAATATTACATACCAATTATTTACGAAATTTAAATCAGGATCTTAGGCAGAATGGTTAAAATTGTTCAGGAACGCAGGACACAAATTATCGAAGACTGGACACCAAGGCAAAAAGTCATATTTTCAAGAAATGGAATTTTCGACAACATTTTATTGAACTGGAACATTAACAAATAATATCTTCAATGAGATTTCCATCATTTGTGATGCTAAGGTTGATTTCAAGATTCACGTGACCTCGATGAAATAACTCCATATTTCTGTCAATTTAAAACATTCTCTCCGTATGCGTTTAATAAAGTGTGTTGCATCAGTGATTTTTATTAAGTACATCTTGTCCTTTAGCATACCCTCCACCCAGAAAAAGAAAGCTTTCTTTCTTCTTTCGACAAAACCATGTTTAATCTGTAACGGTGAAAAAATATAGCTAATGAGATTTCCTATGTGTACAGACTTTAGGGACATGTAGAATAAATGGTTTACGTCACGGCGACATTTTGAAATTGTTAAATTCCTTAAAATATATTTCATATAATTTAACAGAATGAAAAATTACCACATATAGAGAAAAGTATAGGAAATATTTATATTTTCCGAATTATCTGAGAAATGTACATAAAAAAAATAACTATTGTTAATATATATTAGTGCTTACAAAAGATGAAAGCAAAATAATGGTTAAGAAAAAGAAGTGAGTTAATGGAACATGATTGTGTCTAAATTATTTATTGCGCATCTTGTGAGAACCTTCGGTGTACACGTAGCGTAGGGGTTATTAGCAAATGGGATTGGTGTTCTGTGCCCAGAGACTCGCAACTGATTTATCCTCTGCTCGAGCACAAACAGCTCAATGGTTGAAGTTAATTGGCTTGTAAATTTCAATACCTCAAAAAACAAGCGAGTATTCATTCATCATCGTGAATCAGAAATTAAGTCTAATCTAGTCAGGATTAACTGTTACACTCTCAAAAAGTTCCACTGCTTTGAACGTTCATTGGGACTCAGCTTCACTCAAGGCCTCAAGTGGCACGCTATATAAAATCCATTGTTTAAGATGCTTGTAAAATAATCGACCCATTGTACCGCTATAGAAAGTAGCTGAATCCGTCTGCTATTTTCTATATTTACAAGGATCAAATTAGAACAAAAAATCGTGTATAATTGACATATCTGAACAGGAGCTGATCAATCCTCACTCCACTGTCCATCTCTTACGCTTCATCCATACAAGAGTCAGATTAGACAAAAAAAAATGAAATATTGCTGTCATATCTAGACTAGAAATGCTCAATGTCCACTCCTCATTTCTTCTGGCACGCTTCATCCTTCCAAGTGTTAGATTAGACCAATGACGTATTGCTGCCATATCTGGACTGCAGCTACTCAATCTTCACTCGCCTGTCTTTCTACCACGCGTCATCCTTAGTAACGCCAGATATATATGTACAGGGTGTTATTGATAAATTCTCATCTAAATTACGCAAAAATTGACATCGTCTTAATTACGCAAAAATTGACACCGACATCTCATTTTAACAGATATATTTACCAAAATTACACAAAAATATTTTGGGGTACTAAAGGGTACATTTATTAAATAAAATTGCCATTGGCTTCAACTACGGCCTCCAGGCGATTTCGGAATCTCCTGCATCTCTTCTGGAGGGTGTCTTTGTTTAAGTTGATGAATACTGCCATAATTCTTACCTTCAGTTCATCTTCGATGTTACAAAGAATTTTTCATCGTCTATCGCTCAACGGCATTCCACAAATAATAATCAAGAGGTTTCTGTCTGGGGAGTTAGTTAGTCAGATGTAAGGGGTGATGTGGTCACAGAAATGTGGTCTGATAGCCATGACTGAGTTCTCCTGTTTGCGTGACATGGCACAGAGCCCTGTTGACAAGCATAGAGTCTTCCAGCTGCCGCCCGCTTCATCCAGGCACTTGATGTAGTCCTCACCAACAAATTCGTAAGTTTTCTTATCAGGACTATCATAGTGAGTTTTCAGAGCTGCTCTACCTTCGTAATCACCATTAGACTCATTCAACTCTTTCCTCTCTGGTGTTTTCCGATTGACACGCAAAACACTCTGAAACGTTCGTTTCCAACTACTACACTGTGAATTCATCAAAATCAAAAACAAACAACGCGCATGCCGACATTATTTATCAATCGCGCCCTATATATATATATATGTGTGTGTGTGTGTGTGTGTGTATATATATATATATATATATATATATATATATATATATATATATATATATATATATATATATATATATATATATACTTGTTTGACCTGCTATCACTTTTTTGTTTATTAAATAATGAAATTAATAACAACTGACTTAAATTGAGAAATCCTTTTAAAGACAAAATTCCTAAGCAGGATCGAATCTGCCTGCCATTTTTACCATCAGATGAATCAGTGTTTAAGTCTTGTACCAGACTGGCAGAGCAAAGTTTGATTAAACGTATTACCGAAAAGAACATTTTTCCTTGTTGGGAGTTTACGAATCTATAGCTGCTAAAATTTTGTTTCACACCCGAAACTTAAAGAACAGTAATTATGTTGAAGATTGTTTTTTATATCGATCAATTTATCCGACATCATTTCTTACTATTACAACGTTATTTTAGTCAGAGCAGGTGTCTGAATTGCTGGATAGCAACTTACAGATGGGTAGCTACTAAAAATAACGTTTATAATAAGAAGCACACATGTCCGATAAAAAGATCCTTTTGTATATTTAGGCAGCAAATTCTCTTTTAGGTATGTCTGATTAATAAATTACATACATTATGTCTGCTAATTTTTAACAAAATCCGTTCATACTCATGAACACCTTTCCATGTATTGATGTTAAGGATGAGAGAAATGTGTTATAGCAGTTTAAAGTTCTTTTATTTTCATTTCCCAAGTACTTTCGATCTTTTTCCAAGATCATCTTCATGGGTGCAAGTAATACAAAACTATATGTTGTTCATTAGTACAATTATTTATACAAAGTTGTCAGTAGTTATCCATTACCGTAATTTTTCATTATGTTTTTACATGTAAAACGGCTGAAAATGTACTGAGCGTTCAAAAATACACTTTATATATATATATATATATATATATATATATATATATATATATATATATATATATAATATCAAAATGTAATTCGTAGGAATTATTCCAGAGTAGATTTTTCAGTCCATATGAGAGCTCAATATATGATACAGAACAACTTATAAGGACAATTGGAAAAAAAACCTTAAACATCCATTGTCAGTCGTGGATTTATTCCCATTAATATAAGGGTACTCATCTCATCAGACTGAAAACATTTTATGGAATGGAATTAATATATCACAGACAGACAGATGTACAAAGATAAAACAATAACAAATAAAATATATAAAATACAAGATGGAACAATAGCAAAAAATAAATTGACGTAGGAAAGTTTTCTTTGGGGGGGGGGCTTACAATATGAAGAGAGAACAGAAACATGAGAAGGTAAAGCGATAGAAAGATTAAATTTAAAACAGACCTACAAAAATGTGTCAATTAATGCTCAGAAAGGAAAGGGTTAAAATGATGTCTGTTTAGACAACATCATCATCGTCATATAATCCTCATCTCATAATAATAATGGTAATAATAAAAAGTATATATTATAAAATAA